TCTACATGAAGCTGCTGGGGAAAGTCATCAGGAGATCTGGAGTGAGGTGTCATCAGTATGCTGATGACACCCAACTCTATCTCTCCTTTACCACCTCTGCAGTGGATGCGTCCAGATGCTCAAGCGTTGCCTCGCTTTGTCACTGGAATGGACCAGGTAAATAGGCTCAAGCTGAACCTGGACAAAACAGAGGTTGTGCTCCTGGAAGGGTCCATTAAAAGGTTGGGGGGTGTCCCTAAACTGAATAGCATCACCCTCCCATTTAGGGATCGGTACAGTATTTAGGTATTCTTCTGGACCCAGCTCTTTCCTCAGATTCCTAGATCGCAGCTGTGTCCTGATTGGGCTTTAACCAGCTTAGGCTAATCACTCAACTACACCCCTACCTGGGTAACAGCTCCCTCAGGACCTTGGTGCAGGCATTGGTCATTCCCCAGATTGACTACTGCAATGCTCTCTATGTGCGGCTTCCCTTGAAGCTGATCCAGAGAGTTCAGTGAATTTCCTTCAAACAGGTCTGGGCAATCTGAACCTCTGACCCTGTCAATCAAGACCCAGTTTGATGATTCTCAGGAGGAGCACTTTTAAATTCCTTCCTGGCCAAACAGGCACTAGTGTCAAGAAAAGGGTTTCTGTGTCTAATTGTAAAAACATTTTAAAAGTGTTTTTAAGGGAATAAATATTCAGAAGCTCCCTCTTAAAATGTGAAATTACTGTTTTTTCTTTTGTGACTGGGGAATGGACTTACTTGATACTAGCAGAACTTTAGTGCCTATATCCTGTTATAGTTTCAACCATTCCACCTACTGTATCTTGTCACTATACAATTTCCTGGGTTTTAAACATATAAGTAGTACAGTCAGACAGCCTCAGTTTACTCATTTTTACTCTATTGAAAGTTTAGGATTGACTTTCTTGACCACCCCCTCCTTTACCTTTCTGACTGTCGTCTGTGGTATCATATCGGTAAGGCTCTTCCCCAACACCACATTTCAAATGAGCTCATTTTTCTTCACTTTATTTACATACTATGGATTATTTTGACCTTGGTTTACAGTTACTAGCTTTGCGATCTCCCAGCTCTGCCTTTAAAAAAACAAAAACAAAAGGTGAAGTGATATCTTTTGGAAAACATACACACAAGATGTGCGTAGAACTTTGGGTCTTATATAGCTTTTCTTTCTCAGGTTGCCAACCTGCAACCTGAGGAAACTGCAACATAGCTTTCTAGTCTGCAATCTTCAGAGCAGGCATGGCAACATTAGTTTACCTGAGAGGTTAAAGCAGGTGTATGATTCTCCATTGTATGTGTTGCATTCACTCATACTTTTGCTCCACCATTTCATTAATTCCAAACCAATCCTTCAAAATATTTTGGCACAGGGGGACTACAGCCATATCCCAGCTGCTTTTGCTTCTGTCTTCTTTCATAAAACACAGCATAGAGCATATGCTCATCTTTTGGGATCCTCTAGCTCTAGAAATTTTACATGAGGAAAATTTCCGTTGGAATTTGTGTGTAATGTATGTATACTTAAACTTCCATTTCAAAAAGCCAGAAAATTCAATTCTTTGAAACAAAAAGCTCTCTGGTTTATGAATATGAGATATTGTGCTTCTATATCCACAATTCAAAATGCCAGGCAATGGCTCAATATTACTGCACAAGACTGTGCCTGCATTGCCAGCAGGAAAAAGGATGCCAAGCTTTATATAGCAAAGGGGAGCCTGAATGTTGGCAAAACCAATGGCAGCAGTCAAGGTGATCTGCTGGATACCCTCTTCTTTTCACTACCAGTCACACTGGTTGAAAAACTGTCTTGTGTTTGAGTGAGAAGTGGTTAATTGATAAAAGTCAGTGTTTGTGATTTTCCCCTGTGATTTTCTTTGTGATTGGTAGTAAGTGCAAGAGGTTATCCTGTAGGTCAGTGTTTGTGATTTTCCCCTGTGTGGTGTCTCTTTGTGACTGGTAGTAAGTGCAAGAGGTTATCCTGTAGATCATCTTGACTGCTGCCATGGGTGTTGTCAACATTCAGGATGCCCTTTGATATATAAAGCTTGGCATCATTTTTCCTGCTAGCAATGTGGGCAGAACATTGTGCAGCAATATAAGGCCATTTCCTGCCATTTTGAATTGTGGAAACAAGAAGGGTTTTTAATGAACTGAATATTATAGATTATATATTCATTTAGATACTTCATGCTATTTCACTGGCCTCCTGTACTCAGAATTGTAAGAAACTGTTGCTCTAAAGAAATGCCAAACATTCATTTCACAAATAATTTGGGAAGAAGGAACTTAAAACATCCCTGAAAGTACACTGGTCCAGCACTCCCAAGAAATGAATTGTCTAAGTTATTGGGGAGGGGGAGAGATGTAAAAAATCAGTGGGACAGGTAATGAAATGGAGTAGGTGGAAAGGAAGGAAAGAGGAGATGCAGAAGTACATGGTAATGTTAAACAACATCATACGTCTTGTATAAGTTACTTTTTGGTTCACAATGACATGTTGTTTAAAGGTATCCCTAGGGACTGAAAGAAGAACTGCTTCATAAACATAAATGGATAAATCTAAGAATAATGCAAGTTTCTGGGTTCTGACACATGTCTACACCCTAGCAAAGCCAAAGGAAAGGGTGGGGGGAAATAAGGCATATGAAAGATGAGTCTACTCAGTGAGCACAGAATGCTGACTGGCTCCAAGGGAGGGGAAAAGCACCAAAAGGGCAGGGAAAATGGAAGAAAGTGACAGGAATGGGGTGGATGGGAATATCTCAGCATTTTGTTGCAGTGCCCCACTTGTTCTTTTATTTCTGGTGTGTAGGCTGTGATTCCTGTTGCCTACATAAATAAAAGGGATGATCACGTGAAGAAGAGATATCAGAATGCTTGGGGAAAGTACAAAGAACCCTAAAAGAGGAGGAGAAATCCCCAAAGAGGGCAGTGAGACTTGAACATGCACAGTGACTGACTGTTACCAAAGATGGACAACAGGGGATAAACAGAGGGGCATGGCACGGCAGGAATCCTGAATATCAGAATTCTACATTGCAACATTTTGTTGCAGACTGCACTTCTGCTTTTTTAAATTTCAAATCCAAAATCCATGAATGGGATAAAATGCCACCGATGCAGTAAGGTAATGCTTTGCCTGACAGCACCTTGCCTTGAAGCACCATAGGTCTTAATTAGAGTTCATTTCCCTCTTCAGCAGCCTAAAGGTCACAGATAAGAACTTAACCTAAGAGCATTATCACTCAACTACCCTCTCTCACTGTGCAAAAATATGGTAGTGTGGAATATTCAGGATTCCAGTCAGGCCGTGCCATACTCAGTTATGACATGGCATGCCATGCCATGCCATTCTATTCATCCTTTGTCTTCTATTCTTTGCAACAGAAAGGTCTTGTTACTCATTCTCTCTTTCTACTTGAATCAGCAGGTAACAGTCTACATGTGCCCCACAGCAGGTGAGAAGGAAAAGATGACCCTACACAATAATGGAACTCAGCTGTGCCCTCTTCAATAACCACAGGCATCTCAAAGAGCCAGGATAACTCTATGGCTTAGGGCAACATCCAGCTGTTAGCTTCAACTCAAACCTACCCCCGATTCAATGGGAACGACATAACTGTTGCTGTAATTTATTCAGTGGGTCACATCTAGCTGGGTTTAACCCTGAAACCATAGTCCTACTCAGACGTATTGGCCACCAAGTTCACTGGGTCTGACTCATAACAATATGGGTTACAACTTTAGTCACCAGTATTTCTGCCCTTCCTGATAAACGCTGATCTTCAAATTTCAGACTGCAAACACTGGAAACATTAATTTTCCCCTGCTATATTTCTAATCAGGTGGAACTAAGCTGGAGGCAGCATTCTGAAAGAGATCCAAATGCTTAACTGTATAATTTGCATAATTCATTTTTTCTATATTATATAGATATAAAAAGAACTTCCTGTATAGCACTGAATTAGAGCACAATTAGAATTCTAACATTCCCCTGCTCCTCAATTCCTGAAATAAATGCCATGCTAAGAGCAGATCTCCTCTGGTTAACATTACAATAGCTCTTAGAAAAGGTGGAAGATGGGAGAAGCAGTAAATTCAGTGGTTGATGCTAATTACGGTGAGTAATTAATTACTAAGTAATATATTACTTGGTACTGGAAGTGACAGGTACCTAGATATTGCAAGGCACTGTTTCCTACCGTACAGGAGCCTCCATTTTACTTAACTGTGTGTAAGTTTTTTCTAAAAACGGATGCATTGAAAAAGAAAACAAAACCCTCAAATGCTCCTTTGTAAGAAAGGCAGATATTTTTCTCACACGTTGGAAATATTTTGGTGTGGTTGTCTTTGATGCTGAGACTTGCAAACTACTCTGGCAGCTAAACATTTCAGGTGAACCCAGGAAAAGAACATTTATGAGGTTGGGCTGCTGAGCTGATCGCTCAAACATGAGGGTAAAAAAAAAACAACAGATAGCTGGACATGATCTGAACTCTTTCCGATATGACATCCCTCTTGGTTTCTTCCATTCATGTTGAAATCATGAGCCCATGTTAAGGTGGGCTCCAAACCACCACAATATGTGCAGTATTTTCCAAGATGAATTGACTGGATTACATCACATCACATTGACTTCTGCAGACAGAAATGTTCGGAGAGACAACGAGAGGGGAGACAGCCTGTGAAGAGAAGGCAACCCCACTGTACCTCATTTAGGTGGGTTGTTTGTATTTTCTGTGAATCAGAAAAAGGCAAGGGAGGAAGAAAAAGAATTTCAGTTTTTTTTTTTTTTTTTTTTGGAGAATTACAGACTGCAACCCTCTCCCTCCCACAAAAAAGAAAAGAAAAGAAAAGAAAAAGAAAAGCCAAACGCAAGCTCTGTCCCTCTGCCTACACTGGCCAGTTGTTCACACCATTACTAGCAGGGCATTTTTCATTACTCAGTTAAAACTGAAGAGAAGGATTTTGAGTTGCTGGCACTTACTCTGGAGATGGTCAGAGGCATGTTGAAGTCCTTCCCCCCTTGCAGTCGGAACCCCCACGGTCCAGGTCCGTTGAGAGTCACGTTGAACGACATTTTGTCTCTCTTTTACGCCACAAACCCCAAAGGCTGTATGGAACAGAGGGAAGGGGGAAAAACAGGTGGGTATATCTAGTTTGTTTTTTGCTTTTAAGAGAGATCCTTTCTTCTTATTTTCTATCTATCAAATTAAAGTGCAGAATAGGGATCTTTCCCCCTCCTGCCTGGTCAATGCTGCTGAAGTGTCACCTAAGAATAGATAGGAGTTATAATGCAGATACTGATATCCCTGTTGAGGGAGTCCATAAAAGGCATGTAACCAAACACCCGGCTATGCAAAACCTCTGTGACTCAGAGGTCTAATATAGGGCCCCTGGGAAGACCTTTCTCGGCTCTTCCGAGTCCCCTATTCAGACTCAAAGCCACTTTGCTAAGATAAAGATGACTCTGTGTCAAACACAAGCAGGCCACTGGTATACACTGAAATGCACGCATATATTAAAAGAGCCACTGGCCTTGCATTTGAAGGGTTGCTTGTCAATAGCTTGATCTCTGATGTTCTGCTAGCATGCACTCCTTACATCTGCCAGACGTGTGTGTGTGCACATCCAGTACATTCTTAACTGATTTTGTTTCTATACTAATAAGTTGCTCTTATTTTAATGACTATATTTGGAAAAGTGAGGGAAAACAAAGGGAGGAAATAAAAAGGAGGGAAGGAATATACTCGCTTTTAAAAACACACTTAACTGTAACTACAGACTACACAACTGCAGAAACTTCACGTCCTATTTATTGATCTTTCAGTTAGTGCTACTAGTGTGTTTACAGGGACTCTGGTGTTCCTGCAGAGCAGCACAGAAATCAGGGAAAGCCTGACTTTCTTCAGTGGTGAGGGAGAGTCTAGCATGCAACAAGAACACATAAGCAGTAAAGCACTCTGGACATGCACTGGAGGTCTGTCGTGCTTACGCTTCGTCAGATGAAAAATGGGAATTGTACCCTTGCATTTGAATGACTTTTGGGAAGAGATGACGTAAGTTACTTCTTGGGGGATACAAATCCCTGCATACCTCAGCCACCATCTGCACAACTTACTAAGCACTAGGTTTTAGGAGGTAGAGAGACATTGTAAGGATAATAAAAATTTGGGAAGAGGGTAAGCAAACTAACCAGGGGATGGAAGCATTTCCCTAGTAGCCCTGAGGCACAATGGTTAAACTGCAGTACTGCAGTCAAGCCTCTGTTCATGACCCAAGTTTGACCCCCACAGGTAGGTTGCTGAAGAATGACAGACTTCCATGCTTCTAGGGTCCATAAAAGGAGTACCCAGCTTGCTGGGAGGCAGTGTTCCTTGCATAACTATGCTGTAAACCACCTAGTCACCAAGAGTACTATGGGATGGCACACCATGGGATGATATATAAGTCAAAACAACAACAGGAATGTCATAGGTGGCTCATGATGAAAGGAGAGTGATGCCCTTGCCCTCAAACTTTGGTTTTAGCCCCATGTGAGCAAGAGGGCAAGAGGAGACTACCTCTTCCTTCTCTGCCATCCCCTCTACCTTGGAAACTGGGGGGGATGTCCACAATATCAAGCCTCAAGTTAAGAGAGAGGAGGGAAAGAGAAGGAAGGAGATAAAATGGTCAGCATGGCTTTAAAATAAAAGGCGGGAATCGGTGAATGACAGAGTAAGGGGAAAGGGAAGGAGAAGGTGGAAGAATTTAAAAAGGGATCCAAAGGAAGAGGGGCGGAGGAGTCTGGGTGGACAAAGAGTGGAAAGAAAGCAGAGGAAGCCTTGCCTGAGGAATGGGAGTGGATTGAACTTGAGAACCCATGAACGGGAGAGTGGGGAAAAACTAGTGGCGTCTTGGGAAGAAGCTGAATGGAGGAGGAGGGAGAGAGGCCCTCGGAAGCCCTCTTACTGGGGCAAAAAAAAATATGAGGAAGAAGAGGGAAGAAGAGGGAGCTAGCTGCAGCACAGAAGGGAGAAACGAGAGGGGACCCTTGGAGACAAGGGAAGAGACCCTCTACTGACAGACCGAGAACACCCAAGAGAACCCTGGGGAATGCCATGGGATGAGGAGAGGTGGAGGAAGGGGCCCCTGCCATTGCTACTGCCAAAGGAGTCGACACCTGGTTTAAAACCTGTGAATGAGGACCTCTGCAATGTTGGTGGAGAGAATAAAGTTAAGTTGGAACCAAGTTCTTGGAACCCTTTCCAAGGGAGAGGGAAGAGGCGTTGAATGTAATCAAAATGGCTGCTGTTCCCATTGAGACTTCTTTAATAAATGTTGACAATTTTAAATTAGAAAATGACTCTAGTATGGTTACGTCAAGGGGAGGGGGGGAGACAGCAAGTACCCAACCTCACACCCAAACTGTTCCTTTGGGAATTTTATGGCATTCACAGCTATATATAGCTTAAAAGAAGAAAAATAAAGCTGGTGGATGCATTAGAATATATATTTTAATTGCATTTAATTATTTTGCCCTTTTATTTTGCCTTTTTATTGTATTTTAAATGCTGTAAGCCTCCCAGAGACCTTCGGGTAGTGTGGGCGGCATAGAAGTTAAATAAATAAATAAATAAATAAATAAATAAATAAATAAATAAATAAATAAATAAATAAATGAATGAATGAATGAATGAAGAAAGAAAGAAAGAAAGAAAGAAAGAAAGAAAGAAAGAAAGAAAGAAATAGAGGTTTACACATTACATTGTGTGAGGAAAGAGGACAAAGAGAATTTATTTTCTGCCCGTCTCTCATGACATTGAGAGGGCACACAAGAAAGCTGTGTAGCAGGATATTTAGAACATAGAAGAGGATGCATAGTTTTGCATAGACTGTGGAATTCACTGCCACAAGATGCACTTATGGTAACCAACCTGGATGGCTCTAAAAGAGGATGAGACAAATTCATGAACTATGTTAGTCCTGACAACTGGCTATTGTTTTGGACAATGAGAATCTCGCAGCTGGTTGGCTAGGAGATTCTGGGACTCACATCCCCAAAAGAGGAACCCCTCCAAGCTAGGTGTCACTATATGACACCTCCAGAGTTGGAGGCAGGGTGCTTTTGACTACTACTTGCAGGGAGCAGAAACAGGCCACAGCTATTTCCCAAATGTAAATTACATTACCATGATTGGGGATGAGATTATCAGAATTAACAAACAGAAAGCCCCAGATCAAATTATGGGACTGCGAGCTGTCAAACCAGTAGAAAGTAGAGCTCCCCTTTTGCCTCTATGCCATCCCCATGCTGCTGCTTCTCACCCTCAGAAAAGTGTCCTGCTGCACAATGAGAATCGTGAGGATTATCTGTGACTTGCAAAGGTGCATGAGGAGGTGAGTTCCAATGGAGGCTGACTCTATAAAAAGGGTATGGAGGCAGCCTCTATTGGAAAATTTCCCTCCATAGACCTTTGTGAATCACAAGGAATCTTCAGAAGTCCCGCAGTGCTGGCACAGGAACTGGATGGAGGCAAGAGGGCTGCTCTGCCTTCTACCTGTTTGATGGCTTCCAGTCCCATAATTTGAACTGGGAGGGTCCTGCAAAATTATGGGGCAGGACTTCATTAGTTCCAAAAATCCTGTTTCTGGCCATTACGTGACTGAGTGGAATGGAATCTTGGGCAATAGGTAAAAAACAACCAATATGATGCAACAACTCAGATGTTTTTTAAGCAGAGGCTACACTAGCACTGCTTTTAAATTTACTGGAACCTCACTGTCTCTCACATAAATCTTTGTTACCTCCACACACCTATTTAGTCAGCTTGTTGCTAGCTGCATTAATCAAACAGGACATACAAAGAGTGGGCTCTTATGTAGGTATGGTAAATATTGTCTACATATTTAGGCTGCCTTAACAGTATTCATTACATAACAGGACGTGCAGCTTTCAAAGGTCCATCGGCCAGTACTGTCTTCAATGTGGATTTAAGAATGGAAAGCATAAAACTGACTTTCTTTGCAGAGCATCTCGTACACTGGTCACAGATAGTCATCAAACGGCTCTCTCCAAACCTTCATGGACCAGGCATTGTGTTATAAATGGTCTCCACTAGACCATTCTGTCTCTCTCCAAACCTTCATAACCTTGCGTTATAAATGGTCTCCACTAGACCATTCTGAATGGAATAAAATGGAGGTAGAAGGGGAAGTCTCCTTTTCTGCCATCAGTGTCACTAAGCTGTTTCCAAAATACAGTATACCTACTCTAAATTATGTTTGGTCAGATTTTGCCTCAAAATTCCCTCCACAGTTGCTGTTCGCCCTCTAGTACCATCATACTAAAACCCTCAGTAAACCAGAAAAACAGCTTTAATTTTACAACAATTAAGATCCTGATGCTGGTTACCCAATGTTCTGAAGTAGACAGAATAATGAACTAGGACTCATTTGACCCGGGTTCGATTCCCCAGCTTTGCCATGGAAACTCACTGGGGAATTTACATTGAAAACCCTATTAGAGTCACTATAAGTCAGTTCTGGCTTGATGATACATAACAACAACATAACAGAATCCTGAAAGAATCATCAGCCATGACAGGAGCAAGATCCTTTAAAGCTCTCAGAAATCCATTCCGCTCCATAAAACTCAGAGAGGGAAGTCTCCAATTCCTTTAGAGACGGGTGTGTGTGTGTGTCTTGACATGCCTAAACCCTGTGATAAGATTCAGGCTTTTCAAGACTCAGTAAGATTTACAAACCACCACCATTTTTTTCCAGAACAGAAGACCAAATCACTAATATCCAATGTAATAAAAGTGGAAAGTGGAATGAGATTGTTCCCATATCTAAGCTACTGTTACACTAGGAAACCCAGGCAACAAAGTGAAAGTGAAAAGTGAAAGTGTTGCCACCACAACAAGGATTGCCAGGTCAGCAGCATCACATTTCCAAGATATCAGAACCAAAAACGGAGACCAGCAGGCAGATCCCTGGAATGTCACAGAGGTAGAACAGACACAGAATGAGAGTCTTTCTACCCCAGGTTTTTATACCAATGTTGCCAGTGCTTGTGCAAGAAGAAAGTTCATGAGCTGTAACTCTTTTGTACCACTCCCTGCCTTGCTCCAGTGGACCCAAGGATGAACCAAACACTGGTCCAGCAAAAGGGCTAGAACAAGGAGAGGGAGTTGAGGAAAGAACCAGTGGGTATATGCACTTAGGCTAAGCAAGTCCTTTGGGGAAGCACACATACAAACACTTTCACATTGAGATAGTAAGCCCTGACACTAGCTGAGAGTGGG